TGCCTATAAATAAATAGATGAAATGTATTCCGAAGACATGTTACCTCTGAATATTTCAAATGGAATTTTTTGCTTTAGGTATAAATTATGATTAGGGTCGTTTGACAGGATTTTTAGTTTTTGATATATTTGATTTTAAAAAGCATTCAAATTTGGGAACCGAAACATCCTAATGTATTCGAAATAAGGAGGTATGAATATGAATCTTGATGATAAATTAAGAGTATTTATTTATATTGAAGTTCTCGGTTAAGTCAAAATGTTGAAGGAAACCTGGTAACGCATGAATATCCCAAATGAATGACCCCCTTTCTATGCCGCAGAAGAGCCTAACTGGAAAATCAGCCTTATCTAGTATTTTTTTTAGCTATTAATGCATTGATTGTTCAATGTCGCAAGACACGACCTGTAGAATTAGAGTAAGAACGTCAATTCTTCCCTTTTACTATCGGCTAATGTGAAACATCTAGCGAACTAGTGTGGCTTATAATGTCGTATCATAGGTGAAGGCCTACTGGAATTCTTAATTCTTCGTCACTTAACAATATCCCTAAATTCTGACTAGGTAAGGCATCAAGCCAGTAATATATTTTGAGCTAAAGTAAAGAGATATCATAGGAGTGGGCAATTTATTCCTTAAAATAATTTAAAAAATTAAGTATTCTATCAATGGTCATTTCCAAACAAAATGTTGCCAGAAAAAAACAGCTTAAAAAACCTACCAAACACAACATATTTTTAATGCGAAAAATTCTCCGTTTTTTTCATGTCAAACTTGATATAACGATTAAATGGGGTCTTAAACGATTGAAGTGAACAAGTTGTTTTTTTTAAATTTATATTATGCAATCACTTTAAACCATATGAAATATAATTACTCAAATAATGTATTAGATGAATTGTGATTTTTATATATAAAAAAGTATTTTGATATTGCATCTTATCATGCAGAGTTTACTAAACACCTCTTTATCAATAACTTTTAATCAAAGAATTTTTTTATTAATTAAATACCGTAAAAAATAGTAACAGGATAGATATGTTTCTATTTAGATACTTTTAACAATTTGCACATATTTATTAAAGTATTATAAACACATATTTACAAATAAAAACCTTGAAAATTATTTACTACATTAATAAGGAATGTCACTTAATATCATTCTTTAAAAGTTATAGCTGCATCAATTCATCTTCTATCTTTATTCCTGATTTTTTCTTAAATGCATCTCTTAATTGAATATTGTAAAACATGTATTTATTATATATTCTTAATTATTACCTACATTTTTGTGTCATTATTTTAATAAGTAAATTAAATAATATTAGCTTTAAGTAACATTAGTTTTTACTTTTTTTGCACAATTCAACTATATTTAATAATTTTGTAATATAAAAAAATCAGCTGTAATAATAAAAAACGTTTGTTGTTTGGAAGTAAAAAAATATTGTGAAAAATTGGCCTCATTAAAGATTCCGTCCAATCAACCATGGGGATTTTTTTAGAAAAACCAGCCAAGCCTAATTACTCATTAAAACCTAAAATTAATTCATGCTATAAATGGTCCGCAATACTCGGTCTGACTTGGGCCGGGTAACGACTGAAAATTTTTTTGTCGGGTCGAGGCAAAGTAATAGGGCCAGGGGAAATTTTTTTGTTAATATTTTGGTTTAAGCCTTATATTTAAAAAAAAATTAAAAACCGGGCTGGACCTGACAACCTTAGTGTAAAATTGAAACACTACGGACCTGAGAATTTTGCCATTTCCAGATCACGAATTTATGGTCCTAACTAGTTTTGTTAAACGGCCCAATTTGTATCGATTTCAAAAAACGATTCTATTAATTTCAGTTAAAATAATATCATGTAAGCCTTGAGATTTGGAAAATAGAGGTCCAGACCTTTCTGCCATCTATGAGCGAAATCTCCAGATCTTATATAATATTATTCTGGCTAAAATCTTAATCAGACCGTTTATAAAAATCGACCCAAATCTGTCTGTTTACCCACTTTAAGAATGGTGCGTGCGAAATTGATCAAAATCATCTCATCAAAATCGTGATGTGTTTACATTTTATATATGACATTGTTCTTCTTAAAAATTAATAATATATTTATTATATATTATTGGTTAAATAAACAATACAACATGCCCACCCTTTACAGGTCAAACGCAAAATAAGATAGGTAGATGAATTTAAGTCATGAATGTTTTGTAATGCGGTAACTATTATGAAATCTAGTTTTTAATAACTACTCAAAAATATTTTTAAGTGCAAAATATAAATTTTTATATTATATAAATATGTCGTTTATTTAATATTCACTATAAGTAAAACATATGTTTCTAACACAATATGTCCGAAAAATTTATTTACGATTTTAAAATGTAATATATAAAAATCCATTAGATGGCGTAATGCAAAAACATTTATATATTAGCGATATTTTGATTTCAGAATCTGGTGGGACCAAAAAATTTTACGATCCCGAATTAGAAACATTCATGGTTTTTTCCCCTGATTAAAAAAACTACCATGATTCTGGAAAGACTTATTTTACGGGACCAGGCCTGAGAAAACAATAATTATAGACACTCCGCAGACCTCTATTATATGTGCATATATTACTGGAGGCCTTATGGGACGTACAGGGCTGGGTCGGGTCGAATAATTTTTTTTAAATAGGGCCTGGCCGAGTTATCCTTGTATTTTTAAATATATCATTCAATTTCGAAAAAAATTGATATATTTTAAAATTCTTGTAAGAAACGAGGCGCTAATATTTTTTTTTAATTAAAAAAAGAGATTAATTTTTTTTATATTTAAACAATTCGGACTAGGCCTGGCGAACAAATAATTTTTATTTTTATTTTGGGTCAGGCTTTTCGAGACAAATAAAAAATGTTGGCCCAGTCTTGAAAAATTAGGCTCGATGCAGATCACTAGTTTGAGCGATACTAAAATTATTTACAAATATTTCAAATATGAAGAATTAAAATTTAAAAAAAAATATATATAATGTTCCACAAGAAATATTAAATATTAACAAAATAATTATTTTTGACTAGAGCCTATTTTTTTCGGCAATTCTAGCCATAAATCCTTTTGTATACAAAAAAAGAAATTACTAATCTTAACTGTTAAAATTACTCATAAACATCTGATTCTGTCAAAATGTAGATCCCCTAGGTAAAGAAAGATGTACCAGATAAAAATTTTTCACTGGTAATAGATGCAATTTTTCACTGGTATCGGATCCTAAAAAATTTTTAATTACCGGGTAGAGTTCGGTATTGAGGCTTATTTAAAAAAATATATTTTTCAACTCTATCACGTGGAAAGTAGATTTTTTATATCATTAAAAAATATATTTAAATTTTATTCGTATATCTTCAATAGTAAAAAAGAATAAATATCATTAAATCGGCAGCTATTCATTATTTTTTATTTTTTATCCAGAATGCGTCAAGCATAAAATACGGTAAAAAAACTTGGAAAAACATTATTAAAAATGGGTGTTTTAACTCTAATACCTAATATCTTAGCGGGTGGTGGGGGGGGGGGGTCTTCTTAATTATTTTTCAGGATTTAACAGGGTGCTATTAACACCCAACTACAAACAAACAATTGTTGAAATTTAAAGTTTTAATAATTAGAGCAAAAGTATTCAATAATTAAACGCATTGCATTTTTAGATAAAAATTATTATATTATTTTTCTTTACAAATATTTTAATAATTTATGATCAAAATATTACTCGTTAAAAATAGCGGTGAACCAAAGACGCCAAATATTAAAGACAAATAACAAGCGCGATACGCTTAAACGATGCGAAATAACAAATTATTCGTCTATTATCACATAGCAACATGTTTTTATGCGATTTCATTATTTCGCTCAGTTTTTATAAATTATACCTATAATTGTCTTGATTATATAAATTTCGCATCATTTGAGCGAATCGCTCTCATTATAATGCAGAGTAAGACGAGACCTTTTATCATTTATCAGGATTAGAACGTGGCCCCTTATTTTAAACTGGATACTAGTCAGAAGAAGACATTTCTATTTTGCCCAGATCAGAAAAAAAGGTCAGATGTCATTATATAAAAAAAAATATGTAAGTTTTATGTCAAAAGCATAAAGGAAAACGGTGAGCAATTATTTTTAAAAGTTTTAAAATTTTAATGAAATAGTATGTTAAATTATTGAAATTTTCTGGAATTATATTTTGAACATGTTTTTATTTTTATATTAAAGAAGGCTTATATATTTTTCCCCCATAAAGTTTGAAAAGTCTGCGAACCGTATTTTTTGATATTTTGCTTTGACCTTTTTAAAAATGTTTAAAAATTTCGTTAAAATGATATTTGCGCTTATACATTTTTTTCGTTGTTTTTCCCCATTTTTTGTTTTTGAAATAAACAAAATTTTTTGTTCATATATTTTTTACATCCTTAGTTAAAATTTGATGCAAAATTTCGGGTAATGATATTATAGCGTTTATAGCAATTTTCTAAACAATGACTAAAATTTACAGAATCGCGATATCGCATCCGATACTCTTAATAATATACTCCATCCAGCATTAGCACACCACGTAAATGGCTTCAGAAAAAAAGGGTCCTTGCTGGATTCGGACCCAGATCTATATGATAGGTGTTATATGAACTCGCCGAGTAGGCCATATACGCTTCTTTAAAAAAATCAATAACGTTCAACGCTATACATTATTACCCATAGATTTCTCCGTTCCATTTTTTTCCCCTGTCATCAATTCAAAACTTCAAATTCTTAGAAAACTATAAAAATTATTCTCTAGTTCTCATGAGTAACACAAATATTTTATGCTTAATTTAATATTAGATCGTGACTCCATTTTATTTTCTAGTTTTTAGCATTTTTTAAAGCTTCTTCTTCTTCGGTTTCTCATATCCTTATATTACATTTCTATTTTTCTCCATGATATAATAATATTTATATTTTTTAAAATTTACAATCTAAAGCAAAGCCTTTGAGCACCAGAATCAAAAGGTTGGTCCTCGAGTTTAACGCGAATGTTTTGATGGGCCCATTCTTGAGTCTTTGGGTGGTATTTATATCTAATAGCTAACTCGGATTTAATCTATGAGTAATATTATATATAAATATAACTAGCGGGCCAATATTAAATAACTATGCACCGAAAATAAAGAAAGAAAAATTGAAGCTTTAAGTCAAACTTTCCCTTCATAACGTTTAAAAATAAATTTCAAAACTGCAATGGTTTTTATAACAATTATAAAATATCTGGCTATAAAAAAAAATCTTTAAATCCCCGATATATACTATTTAATTTATGAAGTGTCTACGTGAATGGCGGGGAGGAGCAGGAGCCATTTGCCTTAAAATACCTTTCGAAGGGGGGGGGGGGGTAATCTCTAAAGTGGTAAGGAATAAAAATGTAGGGAAGTATAATGTATAATCTAGTAAGATCTAAGCGTGCTGAGTGTCATTTTTTTTCTACTTTCACTCTCATGAAAACAATTTAGGAATGAAAATCCAATTTCAAAAAAAATTAAGTTTACTATTAAGTTCGTGTTTCGCTTTCATAAAATTCGGGATGGATTCTTTGGTATTTTTTTTTCTTGCAAACGTGTTTTTATTAAGTTTTTGTTTATGCCAATTTATAAAAAGATGAAAAGACCTTGAAAATGCATATTTGGTACATAAATGTCTATTTTAACTTTATTTATTTTTTAAAGAAGATATCCTCTTTTTTTGTTTAAATATTTTAACTTTTTCCCTTTCGCGCCCATGGATAACTTTTGGAATCATAATTTTTTAATAGTAATTTATATGCATTAAAAATGGTCACTGATAACTTTTGAAATCATATTTTTAATTTTTAATATTTGCTCTTTCGTATTTTATCACTAACTCTTTTGTTTCATATGTTATTATATCATATTATAGTTTTAAAAAATCAATTTTTTCTTACCATTTTCGCGCCAAAATTTTAGTTCATATTTTCGGTTATCAAAACTTGCTAAAAATATAAGTAATAATTTTATTATTAATATATATAATTAATATTTTTATATAAAAATTATCATCTTTTTAAACATTTTAGGTGCTGGAATTTGAGCATAATGCCATTTGGCATCAATGATCATTTCTTATGCACTAAAATATTTTTATATCAATAAATGGGAATTTTAGTCAAATTATTTAGGATATTTAGATTTAGGGTTAAAACGGAAGTGGGGAGGGGTAATCAGATTATATTTTGATAATAGTTAACTGTTTTGATTATTTAATGTTTAATAGTTTTCTTGGATATAGGGAGAGGTCCTAATAAATATTTTCTATATATAACATGTAATAAATAATATGAGATACCTTTTAATCACTATGCATTTAGATATGACTACACTTATCCCCGAGGGTGATATTTCTGAAGCTAATATAGAGAGCTCAGATGAAGAAGACAATTATTATCCTTTGGTAGGAGATGATTTGCCAACCTCATCTTATATTACAAATGAACTAGGTCTTGAATTGGAGGATATAATCGAAGATATTACTATAACTAAAATAAAAGATAACCCTCTTTGGTCTAAGAAAGACATTGGAAACATGAATACAGAATTTACTCCTATGGTGGAAATTCCTGAACCAGATTCAACTCCTCTAACCTATTTTCGTAAATTTTTGGACAACCAAATGAACAGCAATTTTGTATCAGAAATAAATATTTATTCCTTCCAATGTTGTGGAAAATCTATAAATACTGATAGCAATGAAATTGAAAAATTTATTGGAATACATTTGACTAGCTTAGTTAAGATGCCTTCTATACGGCAGTATTGGTCGGTTGAGACATCCATTCCACAAGTATCAGAAACTATGTCCCGCAATCGTTTTCTTTTGATCCGAAAATTTTTCCATATTAATAATAACAAAAATATGGTAAATAGAGAAGATAAAGGTTACGACAAATTATTCAAAATTCAACTTTTCATATGCCAGCTAAAAAAAAATTCAACTAGAGAAGTTAGCTGTAGACGAATTCATAATTCCTTTCAGCTCTAAATTAAGGCAATACATTAAATCGAAGCCCCGTAAATGGGGGATAAAAGTGTTTGCCCTATGTGGCTCTTCTGGATTTATGTATGATTTTGAAATATACCAGGGAAAGTCTACTAATACTATAAAATCATATTTAGGTATCAGTGGAGATATCGTACTTCGCCTGTCTGAAATAATACCATCAAATAAAAACCATAAATTATATATGGATAATTTTTTCTCCTCATACCAATTATTTATAATTCTTAAAAAAAAGGGAAATTTGGTGTCCGGAACGGTAAGGTCTAATCGATTATCAGGATGCGCACTTAAAAACGATAAGAAAAAAGGAGAGGCGCTGTAGATTATAAAAGTGAAAAAAACGGTATTATTATCTGCAAATGACAGGACAATAAAGCTGTTATTACAATATCTAATTTTATAGGTGTTTTACCTATGACCAAAATTAAACGATGGTCTGTATCGGACATAACCTTTATAAACGTAGAAATGCCTGCTATAATTAAAAACTAAAACTATAATGAGGGAATGGGTGGAGTAGATCTTCACGATATGCTGGTGGAGTTACATAGGACAGATATTAAATGGAAAAGATATTATATGCGAATGGTTTTCCATTTATTGGATTTTTGTGTAATAAATGCATGGCTCCTTTATAGACGCCATATGAAAGCAAATAATATCAAATTTAAGACATTATTGGTATTTAAATCTCAAATAGCAAAAGGGCTGATGCTAGCAGGAAAGGATAGTAACAAGAAGACTGGAAGACCTTCCAGTATAGTTGTAAAGAGAAGAAAAGCCATAAATATTGTCCCCATATCGGATATAAGGTATGACCAAGTAGGTCATTTCCCAAAGCCCGTAACAATTAAACAAAGGTGCAAGTATTGCGTAGATTCATATTCAAGAATTATGTGTCAAAAGTGTAATATTTATTTATGTTTAAATAATAAACGAAATTGTTATTTGTCATTTCATATGAAATAAAATATTTTTTTAAATGAACTTGCGTTTTGCCCATTGATGACATTTGGAATCATTGAATATTTTTTGATAGAAATACTCGAAATAAGTTTTTTTGATAAAAATGTGTTATTTGTGTCTATAATAAGTATCTCTTTAAAAAAAAAAATTTTTCATCGAGGGAAAAAAAGTCGGGCGAGAAAGGTTAAAACAGTGTAGAGTGAGATTAATTAATTTTAACATTGTAGTATTTTAGTTAGCAGCATGGTAACATATATTTACATAAGACCCAATAGAAATTTAGATGAATCACGAGATTACAACAGAATTTCTTAGTTACAAAAATTTCAATCCCAGCGTATATTCTAGCAAAAGCAAAAAAAATCAATAGCTACCAACTTACCGAATCTTCTTGTTTTTTTTACAGTTTACAAAAAATGTTGTCAAACAACTTTGGTTTAAAAAAAGTTAATCCAATATTTTGGGAACAAAAAATATAGGCAAGCCTGGAGATTTCGCTCACAGATGGCAGAAAGATTTGGGGATCTATTAGCGAAATCTTGAGGCTTGCGTAATATTTTTTTGGCTAAAATATTGGGTCAGCCGTTTTTTAAAAATCGAGCCGTTTAACAACACTACTTTGGGCTCTTATAATTTTTTTATATTCAAAAATGAATCAAAATTTACATTTACATTGTCAACATCAAAATCGTCCCAAGGATCTTTATTCAAATGGAAAGCTTTCCGAGCAACCTTTCTCCAGATAGCAATTGATTCAGAATGATTAGAATCGAATGAATTTTTTGATGTTAAGTGGATATCTTTTATTTGAGGAATATATAATAAAATTTATAATTAACTCATCATTACAAGACCCGTGTAAAATATTATTTTTAAACTTAAAAAGTATCACTTTAAACTCAGGGGATTTAAACCGATATTTAATTTATTGAACCAAAACGGAACTTGGGCTATAAAAGATATGTTAGCCGAGCTTAAACTTCTAAAAGAATGTTAAACAGGTTTGAGCCGTTTGATATTTTATTTATTTTGAAGATTATTAACATTCAATATTGATTTGCAGGTCAGTGTCAGTCACCGTTTTTAGAATAAATATTTTATATAATAGTTAATAAAATACTATTTATTAGTTATAATTTTATAATAGGTATGTATTATTTGTATGTGCAATAAATAATTTAAAAACATTAGATGCTTTATATCATATATAATAGTATATGGTTTTTAAATAATATAATTTTAAAAATTTGCCTGTTTATACATATTTCTAATATTATAAATGGTTCGACCCTTAATCTAAATGTACAAAACGAACCGAAATTTTTTTTTTCAACACAAACAGCCTAACCCGTTATTGTACTATGAACCCAAATCTAAACTAAGCCTATATTTTTTTTAAAATTTGGATCAGTGCTAAAACTGTAAAATACTTTAGACAGATTAGGTAGAAAGTTTAATTGCTTTTAATTCTTCAAGTTTAAAATATTTTTTAAAAGAAACCAATGGATAAATTTCTATAAATTTAAATTTATATATTCCTATTATTTTTATCATTCTTAAATATAATATTATATACCAGGATGTTCACGATTAGGGAAATCGATATCAGTTATTGGCCACAAGAAAACATCTTCATCCATTTATCTATTTATTGCTTAAGATTACAAGTTAAATGAATTTGAAAATCGAATTTTTTAAATATAAATTATGAAATAAAATAGAATAAGATCGTCTGTTAGTTAACAACAATTTTATGATTATTAGACAAGAGTTTAAATAATTCGAAAAATATTTTAAATCATAATTGTTTTTTTTTAAATGGTTAAATAAAAAAATGTTTAAAAAAAAAATTAATGTTGTTTACATCTGTTTTCACAATAAATAATTAGTTTATGCATGTTTGGAAGGTACTAGGCATCATTGTTATTGTGGAACCAGTTTTAAGTAAATAACATTTTTAATTTGTATCATTTATTTTTACGTTAATTGTAAAATTACTGAGAAACCTGTCGTTATTCTTATATCTCTTGTAATTCATTCGTTTCCGGCGAAAACTTAGCTGCAGGCCATCTCTATTTGTTGTAAATCACTTTATATCGTCATTGGAGTGCAATTATCGTCTGTTATAACTGTTTTGTTATTGTACCCGAAAATAAAAATTTCTAACCTCGGTGGAGACAGTTGCAGCAAACTCACACGTATGATCCCCCCTTCCAATCTTTTGATAAAAGGAGCATAGTCTTAGGAGTAAATATTTTTTGCAACGTCTAATCTGTTCATGAATGTTATTAAAGCTACATTTAATACCTCTTCACCCTTAAGACCTTTAAGAATTACGAGGTCATCGAATAGCTTTAGGTATACTTACCAACATGGGTACCGTGAAATGGAATTACGTCTACATATATTTTTAATTAAAATAAAAACAATTTTTGAATAGATATTTTATTCGTCTCTATGCAGGCCACCACTTCTTAGATATCTTCGTATTTTGTATACTACGCCGCGAATTCTGGCTAATACGAATGCAGGGTTAGGAATTTTATTTTTCCGGTAATATTTTGTGGTTATGAAACTTAGATTTTTCAATGGTTCAAAAAATTTGTCAATGTGCTTGGATGATTAGAAACATAATCATCAAAATGGTGATTTCTACATCTCATTTTCCGTAAATCCAATGGAGAAAAAGATCGTAAAAATCCAAGAATTATATACACCCAAACATTCTATTAAACCTTTTAATTTAGTGTTTTCCCTTATTTTTTGTTTCTTCGGCCTTTTAAATCTGGTTTCTATAATACGAAATGATTTTCTTTTCTCGTTAACATTATTCTTTCTCAATTCTACTTTCGGTGTTTGAATTCGTGGAGTGTTTTTCTTTTCTAAATATTCAAGAAGAAGACACCTTATTTTACCTTTTCTTCTTAATAATGTCCATTCCGAAATTTAAGATACTTTCCATTGTAATCTTTATTCTCATCCCTCACTATTCTCACATCCCCAAGCATTAGCACTTTTGCGCAATGTTCTTTGGCATTTTTGGTTTGACTTTTCGAATTAAGCAACCTAGCATTCATTGTATTTTTGACTAAATTTATATTAATCTTTGAAATTATGACTAATAAAAATGGTAAAATATATTAGAATGTTTGGTAAAAATAATTATTGTTTTCTTTCGAATTATCTGAATAAACGGAAAATGAGGTTTTTTTAGCTTTTTAAATCAATTTATTTGACTCTAAATTTTGAACAATAAACCAAATGAAATCTTATTAACAGTATCACAGTATCAAACGTAGTTAAGCTAAATCAAAATTTAAAACATACAAATATGTCCATAGGAAAACAATTTAATAAAATCGAAATATACTGACTTAATAATGTTGATGTAAGGAAATCTCAACATGCGCCAATATAAAAATAAAATGTAAATCACTTTATACACACAAGAAAGTCATATACCAATAGGAAGTGTTGAGCAGAATATAAAAAAGATGCTAAAATAAATTAAATAAAGGTGAAAGAGTGATGCCAATTTAAGGCTTAAAATTGAAATATTTGCATTTTTTTTGCTTTAGACCCATTTTCAATACCTAAACTGGTCACAATGCTACTGGAGTTGTAAAAGAAATTAATAAAATTATATCATGTTCATAATGTATTTTTAGACGATGTGCTGATCCACTAATTTTTCACCAATCTGACCTGATACTCAAATAAAACCAATCTGATGGCCAATCTTTTCATTGTTTTTATTTATGATCTTACTTTTCAATCAATGTTATAAAAAAGATTAAACACTTTCTATGCAAATAAATAAACTGCTAGCTATGTGCAAAACAATAAGCATTCTAAAATTTCCTATTTCTTGTAGCTATGGCAATATTAGGTGCATAATCACAAAAGATCAAATGTATTTTGTTTTTTTTATTCCATTATTTTTTTTTATTTTTTTTTTAAAAATTGGACATATTTTATGATTATAGAAATCAATTTACAAATAAAAAGCGATTATTTAAAATATAAATATTATATTCATTATAATAATAAGATATTTTACATTATTAGTAAAATTATTTAATAAAATAAAATATCATAGATTAATTATACATTAATATAAATTTAGCGCTAACATTATAATAATATGCAACAAAATGGCCAAAGTCTATACTATGCATAGGATGTTCAATTACGGCGTTTCGGATATTGAAAAAATAAAGCTGAGATAATTGTATTTTACTATGTTTATGGCTAATCGTTGGCGTAGGTAGAATCCCTCGTTGGGATTCTCGGTCCTAGCAGAGATCCGTTTTCCTAGCTCTTTAAAGAAGTCTAGGGCATGAGAGCCGAACGACGTTAAGGTAGTGGCGATTAATGGTAGGAATGTATAATTGGCGGGAAGAGATGGTGAATATTTAGCTAATTTATTCGCCTCGGCATCTAGTATGGCATCTCTATTTGGAAGGGGCAAGAGGATCAATGCATGAGAAATCCCAATAGGAATTCCCCCTCTTCCAAGGGATCATAGTCGAACCATCGGGCCGCTTACCATCTGAATTGTAAAAACCAGTAGGTTCGAGGGTTGATGGGATGCCGGCGGATTTTAAGGCCCTGGCAATGGTATCATTGCATTTTGAATGCCTAATGAATCTGCCTTTACAGCGCTTGCAGTGTAGAGAGTGAAGGCCTTTGGAGTTGACCGACGTTTGACAGAGGATACAGTTATAAGGTATTACCATATCGCAATTCAGTTTAAGACCGATGGCGTGACGTAACTCATCATTGCTTAGGAGCTGGTCAAGGTTTCGGGATGGGAAGGCTTCAAGAAATTCGTATCTACTACCTTCGGAAATGGAGAAGAGTAGAGAATGGTCCTCTGGTCGGCTCCTCGATTTAAGGAATGCAACGGAGTTGCCAACTAGGGGTTTATCCCAATCCTTCTGTAATGCCGACGATGGAGGATCGACTAATGAGAGGGACTTCCATAGATCAATTGCCTGTTGGAGTAAGGGGTCAGGATGTTGTGTTAGCGTTTGAATGATGGACTCGCAGGACAAGCGAGAGGATATGAACGCACTAACAGAAAGTAGGGAAGGTGACCTTATACCAATACTGCCGGATTTGGTTGGTAAGGTAGCCTGTAGCCATGATAACTCCCCAAATTTAAGATTGAGTATATCTTCTGTTAGACGTTTAATCTCCAGTTCATGTGAAGCGAGGTTGACGTCATATTGAAAGATCCGAGACGCTCGAAGTGTATATAAAATTCTTGGAATTAAAAGGTAGTTCTTTAATAAGAAGAAAGCTTGGTGAGCTGGGAGCAGGGATATCTCTCGTAGGATATCGGCAAAGAACTTGGTAAAGGACTCGTCTTTACCTACTGGAGATCCGAGATGTGTTAAAACGTTGTCTCATTTAAAATATGATCAATTTTATGGCTGAAGACTTGATAAATTGAAACCCCTTTTCATAATAATGTACTTTTTAGCTCTCTCTCTTATCTGACAAAATAGTTAGATTTTGTTAAAATTATAAGTTACAAGAACCAATGCAAATTTAATATTTATACATAATACTAGAAATCTGTAAATCACAGCCCAGCCCATACCCAGGCCAGGTCTATTTTTTAAAAAATTTTGCTTCATGCTGGGCTGGCTGCCTAACATTTATTAAAAATTTTGGGCTGGACCAGGTTGGGCTTAAATTTTTTTACTTTATATCATTACATTTTGTCAAATAAATTAATATATCTTAAAATTCTTGCCATAAACAAGACACTAATATTATTTATTTGTAGAAATAAATTCTGGTCGGGCCAGGTGGATAAATAATTTTCATTTTTATTTAAGATCAGCCTTTTTGGAACAAATAAAAAATATCGTCCAGACAAATTTCGGACCAGGCTGGGCTCAGAAAATTAGGGCAGATGCATATAACTAATTTATACAACTCTAATAAAAATTATATATTTTTATGCCTAGAAGGACTCTTGGAATTAAATAGTTTGTGTCAGGAATATTTTCAAAATTATATCTACAATTCTAATATAATCATCATTTTATAATAATAAAATGGATTTTAAATATAATATGTCTAAGATCAGCAGGTTTTCCTCTTCCTAAATTATTTATACCAACCTTCAAAAATTAATATTTACCACTAGCTAGGATACTAAATATAAAAAACACTACAACTGAAACCCCTTAATTATTGATACAAAGATAGAGAGAATGGTATTCATATTATTAACATAACAGTGCTTTCCTGAATAAAGAAGCAATAACAATGGATAATTTAAAAAAAATTTTTTAATAAGTATTGCAAAAAAAAAGAAGATAAATATATTGTAGTATATAATAGAGATCTGCAAAGTTAGACCCGGCCCGTACCCGGCCCGAGTCCGGCACTAATTCTATTTAAAATAATCGGGTTCGGGCCGGGCCTAATATTTTTTAAAAAAATCGGGTCGGGTCGGACCTTGGAAATTTTATTAAATATATCTAAATTTATCAATTTTATATTGAATTTTTTATGTAAAATAAAAATTTTTGATTTAATTTATTGAAACTAAACGCTATATAACATATGTCTTTTATTTTAAGCAGAGACCTGCAGAGGTACCATTTGTACGGCCCGGCCCAGATTAAAAAATTT